ATATGCTTTTGCCAAAAAATTAAATGAAAGCATAATGTTGGGGTCACTGGTGACCCCGGCGTGCTATCCGCATATATATGTATGTATATACATCTTATGTACTAAGTAAAAACCTAAGTTATGTCAATTGTTTTGTACTTTTTTATTTGGGGTCTACCATGACCCCATTATTTTCATGAACGTCATTGTAAATTTTATAAAATGATATTTAGAAAAGATCATGATGGAATAAATTCTTTCAATTGAGTTAGTTGCAATTCTTTATGCCATTAATTATTTATTTGTCTCATTTGAATCGAATTTCTTACCACGGTCCATTATACAGGCTGTTTCAAAAGTTACTCGAAATAGGGAAATGAGGTCATTTGAAGTAACTTTTTCCTTGGCAAAAATACAATCCGCGGGTTCGTTCACGAGCCGCGAGATGACCGCGCCAATGAGCGGAACTGGGCTTCGTTCGCTGATTGGCACGGCCGCCTCGCGCCAGCCGAGCTCTCGTCCCATTGGTCGGCGTTTTTCGTGAATAACTCGTTAACGATGCCTCGGAGAAAATTTTTGTAAAAGAAAACCTCGGAAACCTCTCATCCCTTGGAAGTAACATAATTATGGGATACCCCGTATCACCAACAATTCAAATAACATTTTCAATGATTTTATATAACTAGTGTTACAGAACTAAAACAAAAAATAATTGCAAATGTCTGTACCATAAAAATTCATTGCTACCGAAAAGAATTCCGCGTCTATTAAACACCGACCCTGTACAATAGGTATCACAGAAACTTTTACCAAAAATCCAATCTGGTCGCGAAGCGATATACGAGAACTTTTTTGCCGCGATCAATTTCGAGCGCTATCCGGCTTGTCAGCAAAATTACGGTGAAAGTGTCGGCGTCCGTGCAGCGGAAGATGATTCCCAAAGGATCCGGGGCAAATCAATTTACGGTACAATTTGGCGTTTCATCGCGGCTAATCGTAACAAGAAAGACCCGTGTTCCCGCGTAATCACAGTTAACGTTCAATTACCGCGTTTGTCTGTCGCAATAGGTAATTGCCTGGACCCCGGGTCCCTAACTCTCGTAATTAGCCGAATAAACGTCCCCTCCGGCAGATTAGCGCGGCTCGTGTTGATCAATGGGGATCTTCGGTACTCTTGAAATCCGTTTGCGAGGGGCCATGATTATGCGACGAGTTTTCGAAATTCCGAAGTCACTTTCGCTGCACCGGATATTATCCAGCCACGGTTTACGCGGCCTCGGGCGTCCCCTAATTCCCGACGTCAGCATTTAGGCCAGTTCGGCTGGCTCGAGCCTTCCGCTATCCGGACCCGTTCAGTATCGATCCGACTAAACCTCGACGAACTTCCACGGACGAAACTAACTCGGAAGTTGGCCCTAACGTAGACCCGACGCAGACATAACCTATACTTATGACATTCGTATGAATTTAGAGACTGGACTGGGTTTGGGTAAGCGATCTATTTATTATTGGTTATACGGGGCGGCGCAAACGAAACACCCAGTCGATTTGAAAGGGTGGCTAATGAGGAGAATGCGATAAATATTTTAACCGCTATTGTTTTTCATTGTAGTTCATATGTTGCGAATGACCTTCATTTGTAGATCACTGTATTCGTCTTGAAAGACTCCATCAGAATGTGAATAAAAAAATAAGGTCGTTCTATTTAAAAAAAACAAGTTTGACCTTCATGTGTCCTCTACGACTCCGCCTATGCAAAAGTTATTGGCATCATATAACGTGCTCCTTGAAATCAAACAACTTTTGTCTGACACTTCATTTTCTATTGTCAAAAACAAGCGAGTTATTCAGGTGTTTCCTTTCAAATGCCCCATCCTGTAATGTGTACGTACATATACAGGGTGAGTCACAAATTAGTCCGCGGGATTTTTCAACCCTTTCCAATGGTTTGACAAAAATGGTTTTCTATCAAAGTTAATTGGTATTTAACCGACAAGAAATCGGAATTGTTGAAATTTTAAAACGAATTGATTTTCGATTAAAAAACTTGGTCACCGTTATGTTTTTAAATGAAACTAAGTAATTTTAACTTCATGGTATTGTAGGCGACGTCGTAACGAATTCAACGATCTGCTATACGATGACCTTCGAATGACATTGAAGGAAAAATTGTCATGAATCGATTTCCACAATATTTAAAATAATAATAAGGCAAAGGCATTGCATGTGAACATAAACAAATGAACGTAAACGTTACAAATGCTCATTTGTTTAATTGCAGACTTTATCGCATGAAACAAAAGAAAAATTGATGTAGAACAAAATTGGAAAGGCTCGTTAAAAATCTGTATTTAATTGGTAATTAAATTAAATGTTCAAGCTGCATTCCATCTTCTGCAACGCAAAATTCTGCTCTTTATAATAAAATTTCGTACGCAGCTTCAATTAGAGAATTAGAGAGTCGTCAATCAGCAGGTCGTCGAATTCGTCTTGTAGTTGCCTACAAATCGCCTATGAAATTAAAAATATCTAGTGCTGTTTAAAAATATAACGGTTCTTTTATCGAAAGTCAAGTCGTCTTAAAATTTAAACAATTGCAATTTCTTATCGGTTGAATACTAATTAACTTTGACAGGAAACATCTTTTTGTCAGACCATCGGAAGGGGCTGAAAAATTGTGGGGACTAATTTGTGACTCACCCTGTATACATAAAAGAACTGATCAATATGCACGCAACTGACAAATGTATTAATAGTTAGTTATTTGAACAAACGATATATTTCGAATAACAATATTATTATTATTATTATTATTATTATTATTATTATTATTACTATTGGATTGACTATTATATCATTCAACCGTTCAGAATTAATGTCTGTGACCATTATTGCATAAAATCCGCAGTCTATTTGTAACGTTGGAACTCATTTTTTCCTTAGAAACGATGTTAAATCGATATAAATAAGTAATAAACAATAAATGATAAATAATAAATAATACTTATAAATAATAATAAATTCATAAATAAATAGCAGCACATTGACCACGTATTGAAACTCACGTCTCGAATTGAATTTAATATTTAACATTTCAAATTGAAATGTATCGACGTGAAACGATGAGAAATTAAGAAATAAATTATTCCACGTCCACGGTACAAAAAAAGACTGAACAGCAAAAAATTCAATTAACACTTCCAAGGTGGCAAAAAGCTTCAAAAACATAATGTGGAAGCTAGTTCGATATTGCAGTTATCGATAAAATAGAAAATTTCATTGCCTGCGTCTGTCAAACGAAATTGCTCAGAAGGAACTGCATTTTCTGAGAAAGAAAAATCAACCGCGACATTTTTCTCTCGTTGTCTAACAGTGTCATCTTACAGCAAAAATTTCGCTTTGCATTACCAGCGTCGCTGTTATTATTTCGCGGCCAATTCGCGTAATATTTTGTTCGTCCGAACTTTAAGGTTATGCGTGCGCGCGTTTCAGGTTACTATTTATTCACTTTAAGGTTAATGGACTGATTTCCAATCGGAATTTCAATTGGAGCGAAATGGTTCGGGGTGATTAGACGATTTAATATACGCGATTTCGGGGTCGATTCGCGTTCCGGGAGTCGTAAAAACGTTTTACGAGCACAACCCCCCCCCCCGCCCGCCGGGAAATCGTGCGTAAAGGAGGAAGAACGCATACGAAATAAAATTTTTCGTGGCGTTCCGCGATTCCGTTTTTATGGGCCGGTTGTCCCCCGACTGTAAAATTCAGCGTCGGCCGGGCGCGGCGCGGCGTCGTGATAAGTCGAATGCCACCGGGAACGATCGTTTCGACCCTCTTTCATCGTCGCTTATTTACTCGACCGTCGCCCGGAACGATCCGTCACCGCGAACAACGGCCCCGGAATTAATTATAACCGACCCCCACCCCTCCCCGCATTTCCCGAGGACTTTCATTCGCCTCACGCCCAGCCACCGTCCGTTTCCGAGACCGTTTTCGTCGAACCCGTCCGAAATTCCCGTGGCCAGATAAATACTCCTTTCATATTCGTTTCGTCATGGCTCCGGAGAACTTTCGCCGTAACCGGACCGCATAATCGCGGAGCCAAGTATTCGGACGATTCTCTATTCCGCGAATTCAGTTTGCTTCCTTCCCGCAGAAAGGTTAACAAGATTGCAAAAAGTACAGTAAATTCTCTCTAATTAACGGAGATACGATTGCGGCTCGTTTTTGTAGTTGTTGACGATCCGTGACTATAAGAACGAGCCGCGAGGTTATGTCAAGTTATGTGAAGGTTATGTCACCTCACAAATTGTTTCATTTATGTCAAGGTTATTTTATTTTAATTTACTTATTTACCGTATGTTCAAAAATATGTTTGGAAAGATCGTTGAACGAAGTTCGGAATTGTTGTAAACAATGTAAACATGACCCGTAGTCCGAGAGTTAATAATTTGTGTTTGTTGAAAGTAGTATGTCGACGTTATTCAATGTTTTTCTTGTTAAAAATAAGATGAAAAAATAAAAATAACACGCGCCCGTTTTTCACGTACATGCACAAGATCAGGAGTCTGGTAATTAATTGTTAACCTCAATTTTTCTATCTTCACTACTTTGTACAAGGACCAATGATGATAGAGCTGCGGGCTGCTGCAAAACAATACCATTATCTGTGGGTCGGTTATCGTGTTACAGAACATGATACCGAACAATTATTGGTATACCAACGTAAGCCGGAATAATTGCGTTTCCAATACAGGGGTTGAATTATTTAAATTGTTTCGCCCGAATTTGTCTTGTGAACGATATCAAAAAACGTTTCTACGAAACAATATTTCGAACGGCAGCAACGAATTCTTTATTGTTTTCCTCTTTTTTTTTTATTCAAATACAAAACTCTTCCCGGTAGCCTTTTCACCAAAACGGGAAACAATTAATAGAAATATAGAATTCTTAATTTTTTTCTTTAAATTATAATTTAAAATTATATTATAAATGTTATAAATATTATAAATATTTATTTGGATTTATGTATTCAATATTTATTTTTACATTTATTTAATATTTATCTTTACATTTATTTAATATTTATTTTTACATTTACTTTACATTCATTTTACAATTAATTCGATATTAATTAATAGCGAAGAAAAAAAATTATTAATGACAAATCGACCGCAGAGTATCTCGTTAAACATTAATCACCAAACCCTCGTGCATTAATCAATTTCTCGAACGACCGGCCCCGACGAAATTGGCGCAGAGCTCGATAAACAAAAGCGTTGGCAATGATCGACGGCACGAGCTCGCGACTTTCAAGCCGGTGAGGCACGCCTGCTCATTTCCTGCGGGAGGTATCACTGTCGGTATTATGTGAGCGACGACGAGAGAAGAGGATAATTTCTCCTGACCCAGGTCGCCGGAACACCTGTTGATCCCAGGCTCTCGTCCCCGAGATCGACTCTGCCCTGGGCCGGCCGGGCGGCGAAACACGTCTCGAAGAGAGCGATCCACGCGGAAAAGTCCCGGACCCACGATGTCGTGCGTGCGTCATCAATCGTCGAATCCTCCGAGGGAAAGGTGCTACTACAGCGGGCAGCACAATCGTTACGCGAAGGTCCCTTATTCGCCGACGATTGCGTCGCAGGACGCCTACCGAACCGGTAACTGCTGCATTTCAAGTACATTCGAACATTTCGTGGTGCAACTTCAACATCGCTACTTCGCGAAAGCTCATTTATCGCTGTGGATCTTCACGCAAAAACGACAATTTTTAACGTTGAATTAGAGAGACTGTACTTGCGACAGGCTGTAATTATTTAGTGTACCGAATTATCCGTGACGGCGCGGTGTGGTTAGAATCAATTTATAATTAGACCGCGGATTTTGTGCATTTATGACGAAAATGGACGCGTCGAATATGAAATTGTAAAGGTCGTTAAAACAATGTTAACATATACATTTATGTGCTCGTTATTTATTAACCGCACTATGCGACATGACCTTTTTAAAAAGTTGATTTCCTTTTAATTTCGTTGTATGTTCGAAAGAATCACTGTGAAATCCTAAAATTCTTGGTTATGTACTTGTTACCCAGATCTCATTGTCAGTTTTCAGAATGTTAAATGTTTCTTTATAAAAGCGGACATTTTCAAAACTCACCGATCAGATGTGCGAGGAAAGCTCGATCTGTGACCCGCACAAAATGCGTTAAGCAAAAGACAATATATATAGTCGATTGTACAGACAATAACGCAGTAAAATAATATTACACAAGAACAACCACCGGTTTTGTGCGATTTCGAGCATGTTACACCGTGAGAAGGTAAAATGGCGCAGAATGTTAGAAGCGCCGCTCTACGGTGAGCCCCAAAACTAATACCAATGAAGCATAAATGAATAAAATTAGTATATTGAAGTAGAATCCATTTACAATTCTAGTTATAACTCGTTACGCTTTATAGTATCAAATATGTGTAAAAGTGACTTATCAGTAATAATCGTCGGTGGCGGAAGATAATGATTAAATAATGGTTAATTATGATTGTCTTTCAACTGTGTGGTTCTTCGAACAATTCCTTTCACATCTCTTTTTTAATATAGCTTCAATTTGAACAATAAGCATGGTTCCCTTACTGATTGTTTTTAGCGGAATTTGTCGAATAAGTGTTACTTTTGGTCCCTGATGTGAACAGGCCTTAATTAGCCGCTCGCCGTTCTACTAAATTACGGGTGCTGTTAATTAGAGTCTTAATTAGCTACTCGCCATTCTACTAAATCACTTGCTGCCTCTGATACGGTCTTAAATAGCTAGTTTCCAATCTATTAAGTCACCGAACCGGTCTGAACAGTCTTTAAGGTTATGTCAAGATCGACATAAGTTTGACCTACTAAGAAGCTACTCTTCCATCTACTAAATCACTGGATCAGTCTGAACAGATCTTAATTAGCTATTCGCCACTCCATTAAATCACTTGCCGTGACTGAACCGGTCTTAGATAGCTACTCATCGATCTACGATGATCTGGGCCTGCTAGAAGACTCATCAATAAGGCTCCCTGGTAGGCCCTATGTTAGACGCAGGGGTACCATAAGAACGGTCGAGGACGTTATACGCGCGAATCGGTGACGAATCAGGTAGAAACGGGAGAGGTAGCCATCTGCTGGCGCGTATAGGAGACAGCCGCTACGAAACGCTCGGATACAACCGATCAAGTGGCTACCTCCGGATTTCAGGATACTGCGCCGGCTGGAGATCGCTGGATTCCCAAAGCAGCAGCTTCGAGATGCAGTCGTCAGGTAAACCCCTGGCTTCTTCTGATCCTTTGTAATACCGAACAAGTCATCTAAAAAGAAAAAGAAACTGATGAATCTAATCGAAACTCAATAGGAAGGGAATACTGCTCGGCCAGAGGAGACCAGCCGTTCACGGACACCAGGATGGTAACTGGAAGAGCGTCGTCCTGCAGGCAGGAGTCGGTCAGAAGCGTGGACCCGAACGTCCTTGAGAAAATGCAGACGGCGTTAAAGATGCTGGAGGACAGTAACGTGGCAATGCAAACAAGGAATCAGAGCCTCGTCGAGGAGAACAAAGCGCTTTTGGCCAAGTGAGAGGCTGATACTATTACACGCGCCATTTGTTTACTATAGATTGTCCCATAATTATGTCGACATTTGGAAAGGGGAGATTTCTCAGGTCATTTTAAGTAATCTTCCCCTTAGCGAAAATGCAATCCGTAGCTTTGTCTACGAGTTATTAATGGAAAACAGTGACACTGGCCACTGACCCTTGATCTGTGACCACTGACCGTCGAGCATTAGCCACTGACCAGTGACGGTTATACACTGGTCACTGACCACTGACCGTTGATCACTAATCACAGACCATTAAGCACTGATCACTGACCATTGAACATTGGTCACTGATCACTGACTATTGATCATAGACCTTGACAGAACCTTCACATATTTATATATATAATGTATTTATATTTATTATTCTGTTACATCGAAATATTTGTTACTTCTTTTTTTATTATATTCAAATATGTGTCAGTTACGTATATATTATGTTAGAATATGTGTTACCCGACACCGAGTAATTCTTAATAAAAAATGCTTCAAATAAAAATTAGTCAATAAACAGTTTCTAAAAAACTACAATACTAAATAGTGGTAAAATATTTTTTTATTCAACAAAAAAACAATATCGTTGTAATTTTTTTAACATGACTGTATATTATTAACGTACAAATCGATTCGTTCTTGTATTCCATTTAAAGAATTATTAATGTACTTGGGTCGAAAATTAATTAGACTAAAAGTTATGATTATTGACCCGAATGCCCATAAAATAGCATCATTGTGAGACGGTGCGAACGTAGCGTTTAACGGAACACCTCAGGCCATTTGTTCCCAGCAAACTCTTTGAATAATGGTTCGTACGTGTTCGGACCTTTCGTCGAATGATTTCCGTTTCGGTGATTTATTCGGAAGGTTGGACGAAGAACGGAACGAGGTACTGAGGCTCGAGAAGAAGATGATGGTCCTGCGGATGGAGCTCGATCGCGAGAAGCTGAGACTGCTGGAGACAAAGGAGGCCGCGGAACAAGTCGGTGCAGACACGTATACAGGGTGTCCCATAATTATGTTAACGCCTGGATTCCTAAAGTCATTTGAAACAACTTTTTCCTTAGAGAAAATGTTCTACGAGGCTTTGTTTACGAGTTATTAACGAAAAAGAGTGACCCTGACCGTTGGCCATTGGTCACTGACCGTTGACCAGTGACCAGTGACCATTGTCCAGTGATCACTGACCATTAGCCATAGAGCACTGGCCACTGACCGTTGACCACTGAGCACTGACCACTAGCTACTGATCAGTGACCACTGTCCACTGATCACTGACCATTGACCACTGGCCAACCACTCCTTCCCAGATATTAACATAATTATGGGACACCCTGCATTGGAATTGCTTTCACCGACTAAGACATTCTTTTATGATTTCAGTGCAAGCACGCGCCGGCCGTCGAAGCGAACGGAACGTCCACGACGAACATTATCACGAAGCTCGACAGGGGCGTGCAGATTTGGGCGGTGTGCTCCGGGTGCCAGAGGAAGCTGGAGAGCTGCGAGAAACTACCTCCCACTGTCACCATTACCAAGTAGACATTGGCAAATGTTATTCCTCGGTTGGCTCCTTTTCTTGGTTAAGAGAATGGTAGAACTACGGGAAGGGTATTTCTGATTAAGTGGTCCAAAGCTAAACAGTAATGAGAGATTTTGGAAGACATAGTTTATTGACTGATAGGGCGATACACAACAATACATACGCAACATTACAATACTTAGAAGGACCACCACTTTTAAACATGGGCTTAACAGAGCGTAGCCATGTTTCGTATTCTGAGAAAAAATTCTCCAAAGTAATGATCTATCCGAAATGGTCCATAGGATAAGCGTAGCGATTACCGTGCTACCCCGTGGTTACTGTGTCCTCACAGTAGTTTTACATATATTTAAAGACAACGTTGCTAAATTACACATATTGAACTTTTTAATGTTCCTAACCGAATCAAAACATTAAACTTCTTGAGACCTGTAACATATGGAGACGAATTTTTTACATTTCTGATAATATCTCGATGCGTTTTTATATTCATAAAACTTGACCAAAGTACAAAATAATAATAATAACAATGTAACTGTCTTCTTAGATATATTTCTTCATCGAAAAAATGTCTAGTGCTAATTCGTTCGCGGTGTTCGAGCAGATCGGAGCTGGAGGAGCTTGAGAAGGACATGAAAGCCCTCCGGGACACTATAATCGCCAGGGAGGAGGCGTGGGACAAGGCGATGGAGCGCGAGCAAAATTACAGGCAGCAGTTGACTCGATTTACTACGGAGACAATCACGGCTCGTCACATGGCGGACACGCGTTACGAGGAGCTGCAAGCTGCCAACAAAGCTCTGTCGGTAAATATGTTAGAATCATTACGATTCGCCGGAGATCAAGCTGGATTTCAAATCGAAGGAGTGGCGGTAGGTCACATGATGCGTCGCTGCTCCCGTATAGCGGAGTGGCGGTAGATCACGTGACGCGTCGCGGCTCGCGTACAGCGGAGTTGCGGTAGGTCACGTGGCGCGCCGCGACTCGCGTACCGCAGAGTGGGGCACGTCAGGTGATCTACCGCCACTCTGCCGTACGGGAATCGCGGCGTGTCATGTGACCTACCGCCACTCCGCTGTACGGGAATCCCGGCGCGTCATGTGACCTGCTCACTCACGTTCTATTTGAAATCCGGCTTAACCTCCTGCAGACCGTATTTGGGATCATTGTTTTCTTCATTGGCGCTCAGACAGCCGCGCGAACAACCTCAAAAATTGCGGGAAACTAGAGTGTTCCATTTAACGTAATTCAAATTGAAAAGTTAGTGGGGTGTCGCATCGATAATGTTCTTGATATTCTTACGTTTCACGGATTTTAATATGGAAGATTCGATAAATTAACATGAAAATTCATTTACGAAGTTTGGGAAAAATAATTCGCAGGAGAAGGAATCGGAATTGAAGTCGCTGCAAAAAGAGAACCTCTACTTAAACAAGCTAACAACGAAGCTGTATAACTGTCAGCAAAGGTAAAAGGACTCAGCTTTCTACCGCCGACTCAAGTAATCAAATAGAAACTATTTTTACAATTCACTTATCTTCGAACTCAAAATTTCGATGCGTCGTTACTTTGAAATTCGTACGGTCCATAAAATTTAATCGAATCCGTAGAAAATACAAAAATTCGATTATTTTTCGGTTGAAAATTCAAACGTGGAATCTTCTTCCAGAATTGACAACATTTGAAATTAATCACTTTACGTGTCGTAAATATTGTAATGCACAGTTGTATACAGTTATACATAGGTGTATGTGCTTGTAAATAATTGCATATGTTTGTACGCAGTTGTTCATAATTGTACATAAACCGCGGATCTTTATGCAAAATGAAAAAATTTCTGCATAAATTGCAAAATTTTCCTTCTTCCTTGAATAACGTTATCAAGTTGAAATTAGAATACCAGCTCATTTCAACTTGTTCGCTGTTTAGATCTTCACCCACTCATTTTTACCATTAATTTTTTACTATTTTTACCATTAAAGTCTGCGGTCTAGTCATATGCAGGGTGTCCCAAAATGATGTTACTTCTTGAAAATGAGGGGTTCCTCAGGTCATTTGAAGCAACTTTCTCCTTTACAAAAATGTTCTCCGAGGCATGATTAACGAGTTATTGACGAAAAACGCTGACCAATGAGAGGTGAGCTCGTCTGGTGCGATGCGACGCAGCCAACGAGCGCACGAAGCCCAGTCCCGCTGATTGGCTTGGCCGCCTAGCGCGAGCCGAGCTCGCCTCTCATTGGCCACTGTTTTTCGTTAATAACTCGTTAACGATGCCTCGGAGAACATTTTTGTAAAGGAAAAAGTTGCTTGAAATTATCTCAGGAACCCCTCATTTCCCGGAAGTAACATAATTTTGGGACATCTGTATAGTCAAATATAGATCTATATTTATACATTTATATATAATTAAATATTACAATAATTAAATATTTATATATTTAAGCATAGATCTATATTTATATATTTATTTATTTATTCATCAAGAATATTAAAGAAATAAACTCACTTCGCTACAGTTCGCGTCGCGATCGTTGGAAAACAGTCGAAATAAAAGAAACCGTGTGCAATAATCGCACGGAAGCTAAACGAGCATGACTGCAGCCGGTGAAACAGTCCGGATTCTGGTGTCCCCCGCGAGAGACCTGGGAATTAGGTCCGGGCGAGTATCTCCGGCATCCGTATCCGAGCACACGCCGCCCGACCGCTTCGAAACTTCCCTTTCCTAATCGATAATTAGATCTGCACGGTTTACGCGCAGCAGGGACGGCTGAGCGAGTCCGCGTTCGTTTCGCTGGAAGACCACTGCGAGATCCTTGTCCTTTTCACCGCAGGATTCCGCCGTGGGGCGATTTAAAATTGTTTTCGTGCGAGAAACTTCGGTGACTTATTTTACATAACGTATGAAAGAGGTGCGAAGGAGGTCAACCGTGCCCCAAACCCTCGAAGGAATTCTTATGACTTGCCAAATAAGTATCGGAGATGCGATGGTGTCGATAAGGTCGACACTCGATCGTATCGTAAAACCTGGCATCGATGTCGTCTGAATAATTCGAGAGAAATAATCGGACCCGACAGGGGTCCGAAGGAGGTTAAGGAAGCGCAGTAAATGCTCCCACGTTGTCCCTGTTAACGGTCTGCCCACATTGTCCCCGTGTCATTCACACGCCTATATGAATCACTCCTACGCCTATGCTAAGATTCGGCGGAGTCGGTGAAGCGTACGATGCGACACACGACGCGGCTGCTGTGACTAGAATTCCCGGAATGGCAACTCACGATATGCAATAACAAAACTTTTTTAATTTTGCAATTTTAAGAATGAATCTTTCTTGTAACATATTGCTGACAGTTTCCTGATTAAAATGAGACCAAACATGACATAGTTTGGACAGATATTTCTGATTGAAATAAAATCAAACACACGATACGAGTTCGATCGTGCACAGGGTGACCCGTTTAAATTAGTCTAGTCATGTACATATCTTCGAAACCGTTGATGATACCAAAAAATGTTTCGAACGAAATTTGTATAGTTTTGGAGTGCTAGAATAAAGACGATGACTTAACCTTTTTTATTTCTAATTTTTTGCCATGATTCGAAGGCAATTCGGAGGACACATGACACTATTCGAAGGCAATTCGGAGGATACATCGTGGCGGATACGTAGTCTATGGCAGACACGTAGTTCCACAAGCGACCACTCGCAGCGTTGGCGTTCTTCGCGAGTTACGCTCTGCACCGTGTGTGGTTAGCGGCCGTTTCCGTTTTCCTCCCCCGAAACAAAGAAGAGAACGCTCTTAAAGAGCAGAGACTCGAAGTCCGGACCGTGCGGCGCGAACACGCGCGTAGTTGATCGCAAATCGTATTCGCGTGTTAAATCTGGCCGGTTGCCAAGTATTAGTCTAGTTCGTTTTTCCTTGCCGAGCAAGCGGTGTACATTTATATATTGTTTCCTTTTTAATAAAGTCACATTTAATTATTAACATTCCACGTGTGTGTCTAACCTCAACGGTAGTGACTGCCACCGCGTGTCCGTCCGGTTACAAACGCTAGGGAAATCGCAATAGGGAGATTCACACATAGAAACGTCGCAGCCGCTAAAACATGATACGATTCGAATGCAATTCGACATATGATACGATCCGACGGTCACGTACCTAGTACGTAGTAAATTCTCCCTAATTGGCGCACAGATTGCGCACAAAAATGGACAATTTAGGTTGACAATCGGTATAACAATCAGTAACAAAAGAGCCGCAAGGCTCTCCTCTTGTGAACAAGCTGTACCATTGACGTAACAATGAATCGCATAGGCGTAGGACCAGCACAGAAAAATTCACGGCAACCCGAAATTTAGCATTTCCAGGAGAAATTACGGTATTTAATAGAATTTACTGTATATCCGAGTGAGGCTGCTGTATATCCGTTACGATAATTCCATTGTCGTCGACGCGCTTTTCCGAAGATTATTTCCCTAGTCCTGGAGGAAGATACCGCTGGCAGGACAGATAATTAAATAAACCAGAGGGCCTACTTGTTTTAAGAGTCTCGACGGCGGCGCGTAAACGCTTCCCGAAACGGGCAGGAAAAAGGGAAATCGCCGGATCCCGCTTTTTGCCGGGGAACGGCGCCCCGGCTATCGCTCGAACCCGGGCTACACCCTCCGCATTTTAGTCGTTTCATTAGCGAAGAACGGCCGTCGTAACGTACCGCCGAGAATGCCGGTTCAAATTTCGCCCAACGAGACGCGGGAGCTTGTCGCCGACTAGGCACACCCCTATTTCTTTCCATTTCGAAATGCAATTTCCTTGCCAAAATGCAAAGTGCACAGCTCCCGCTAGCGGACTCGCCCGCCCTGGTGTTGTTTCCGCTCACCTCTGACCTCGATGTCCCCTCTTGTCTCGGCTCAGCTCTGCCATCTTTTCTATCTTCTACGGTATCCTTTCCGAATCCTTGTTGACTTCTCGCGCTAGAATCGCATCGTTCCTTTCGGCCGGTTGAGTTCCCAAGATATTCGCAGACAAAATTTTAATCGAAATGTTTTACACTGGAGGTCTTAAAGACGTCCATTTTACGTCCATTTTAGGTCTGAACGTCGTACGCCTTAAAATGGACGTCTTTAAGACACCCCAAGTTCGACGTCCTTTTAACGCCTGAAACAAGACGTGTTTAAAACGTCCCAAGTTGAACCTCCTTTTAACGTCTGTTTAAGACGTCCCAAGATGAACGTTATATTAACGCCTGAAACAAAACGTGTTTAAGACGTCCCAAGATGAACTTCCTTTTAACGCCTGAGACAAGACGTGTTAAAGACGTCTGTTTCGAGCCGTCTTTAAGACACTTGAGATATTTCTTCACGGCGTTTATTATGTTTTCGTGGTTTTTTAAACAAATCAGTCGAATGCTTTTAAGTACAATTTTAGTATGAACAACGAAAATGCAATCCGCGGCTTTGTTTACAAGTTATTTACAAAAAAAAACGCTGACCAATTAGGGACCAGCTCGACGGCCGAAGGACAGTTTCGTTGATTGGCTCGGCCGCCTCGCGTCAGCCGTTCTCGCCTCTCATTGGTCAGTGTTTTTCGTTAATAACTCGTAAACAAAGCCTCGGATTGCATTTTCGCTGAGTAAAAAGTTGCTTCTAATGACCTCGGGAATTCCTCATTTCCCGGAAGTAACATAATTTTGGGACACCCTGTATATAGAAATCTTCGCCGGGTCACAGCGATCGCCACTAATATTTTGAATGCTGCTAAGTTCCCGAAGCCACTATCTTCCGGAAGTTAGAAATTTCAAACCGCATAATCAGCGCCTTCTCGCGACGTAACTTGCAAGCGTACGCGTTCAGGATGACCGATGTCGCTCGCCTTTCGGCGTCTTGGAAGTTCGGGTGCGCAGCCTTCAACTTCCGTTCGCTTTTAAATTAAGTGGCGACCGCGCGAACGAGGAAGGGCGCCTATGCGACGACGGTTTAATCGCAAAGCCACCTTTGAAACGGCGCGCCGACGAACGACGGAACGGAAACAAGCATTTCAAGTATTTAACGAGCAAACTAGTTACACGGTGAAACGAAGTTTTCCGCTGTCGATGTTGATAGCGCTTCTGAAAGAACTTCGCCAGACACCGCAACGCAAACCCTGGAGACGCGAACTTGCCGCGGAGTTGGCCAACACGACAATGAGCGAGAGGATACAGTAATTTCACAGAAAAATGTTCGGAGGTCGGAATTGAGACTCGCGACTCGCCCTCAGAAGCATTCAAATTTCGTTTGAAAAATTTTTTGGTACCATCGACGATTACCCTATATGTAATCGAACTCGCATCTCTCGTGTTTGATTTCATTTCAATTAGAAATAAAATCAATTAGTCCAAACCGTGTCATGTTTGGTCTCATTTTAATCAGAAAACTGTCAGCTATATGCTACAAGAAAATTCATTCTTAAAATTGTAAAATTAAGACAATTTTGTTATTGTTTATTATGAGCTTTCATTCCGGGAATTTCAGTCACAGGAGCCGCGTCGCGTGACCACGGCAATCCGAAATATGGCATTTTCGGAGATGGCGAGTTCTAGTGAAGGAAACGATGTTCGAGAATGTTCAAATTATATTCTCAAATTTTCGGGCCTCAATGGTATTGTTAATTTTCGAATGACCGTTGTTTGAAAATTCTATGAGACGCGTGTTTCGCATAGGAAGTGTGACAGTGGAAGGTTGAAGATGGTGAAACGGTCGAAACGAGTGCAAAAATGTTTAACCGTTTGATATAAAATATAAAGTCTATTCTACTCACCGCTGTGCGACAGTTCGGCCACGTCACGTGGCCTACCGCCCAGGGTCATCGAAGAGGTGGGGATAGGGGACGCGTGCGCCGGAAGTTCGTGCAGCGGCGTGGCGCGTCTACCGGGTGGCCATCGTAATTCTGAACTGCGACACGACGTAGGACCTCCGTCCGATCGTAGTTCAGAATTAGAATGATCACCCGGTAGACGCGCCGCGCCGCTGCACGGGATTCCCTCCATATGCATCACCTATCCCCACTCCTTCGAAATGAGGTGCGACTTACTCGTCTGAGAAGTGCGGTTACCGTCGCTCCTTCGACTCGAAATCGGGGCGAGATCAATCCTGACTCGATTTCGTTTAATTTCCAGTTACAAGGACGAGCACCAAAGGAATAGCTTCCTTTTGGACGAGAAGGATCAACGGTACATTGAGGATATTCTGCGACGATCGTCAAGCGGAAAGAACAAGCAGAAGCAGAAGCCGCGGACTACTGAGAAGAATTATGGCAATCAGGCCAGCCCTCGCGATCGAAGCGCAAGAACGAAAGATCAAGGGGGCCCTCTGAAACAACCGAAACGTTAAAGACGTTCGCTGCGATGCGTTGGATCCCCTGAATCCTGTTTCAATTAATTGACGATTTCATGAAATCCCGTTCTGCTCCTTAGATCATGTTTGTACAATGCATTTAACGAACCTTACTTTTTACTCATCTGTACACCCGTTTGATATTGTTGAATTTAAATTGTAACGAGTGGGTGGAATATTAAAGTGGAATTACGTTAAACGAATGTCGTGGGAAACTGTTCGCTTTTTTTCAATAATTTGTAAATAATAAGAAATAATTTGTAAAGAGCGACAACTTTACCGATCGTCGATGACTTTTGTGCATGTTGTCAGGATTTCGAACAACTTCAACCATTTAATTTGTTAACGAATATGGCTGATGGAAGCGGAAAAATCGTTTCTAGAGCATAAATGTATCATGCAGTTGTTACGGCAGATGAATTTCACTGATCAAATGATTACCTTCCGACGGTGAATATTTCCGGGTAATCGTATCGTGATACGAACGAGGTATACGGAATAACCGATTCATGCTAAGAAGCTTAAATTTCGAAAACGTCGGTAACGACGAGCGCGGCACGGAAATGATTAATCATCCACCCCGTTTGCGACAATTGATGTATCAACTATACTTCGTCTACGGTAGTATGAACTGCCATGGTAACAATGAGTGGCTGAAGTATGAAACCGTGAAGACGTAAGAAGAATTTAATTATTTCATTACGTTGCTGTCAACTTACCAAAATTATTAACGGAAACAATTTATTTCTACGAAATTTCCGTTTCTTACAATCGACAATGACCGATTTAAATACACTTGTTTGCTTCGACGAGAAATCATTTACTGAATACGATCGAATAATACTTAATAAGACCAAGGACAGTATGACCAAACGGAAAGTACAATTGATACAATGAGCCATGCCACTAACAGCGTAATTAGCGTCACTACCGTATAATGTGCTATGCGCAGTCTGAAACACAAAACGTAATGAACGATTAGATGGAATAACGAGCACTATAATATACGTTGCTTATACACTACTATATACACTGCTTGAACAATAATATCACAGAAAAATTTTTGATGTGAGTGGGCCAAATTTGACGGTAGACAACTCCGTGAAAAATCAACATAGAGCGATGATCTTGCTTTTACTGTCTCTGGATTTTAAGTTCGATGCACCCTCGCTTCTGTAATCCTTTAAATGCGAGACCGTGTTTATCATATTGAAAATTGCTACCTTCGATGAAATTCACGGACTCTGTGAATTTTTTTCGACGATGCCGTTTCCAGCCAAACGAAGTTCGATCCTCCCCTTTCGTTCTGAAAAAATGGCACTCAACTGCGATATTTTTTCGCGAAGTCAGAGTACTTCAAAGTAACCCTTGCCGATCTGATACGTTAGTTACCCGGGAACGGGTGCTGTTGCAGTTGCAATGGTACACCGAGGATAAAATTGAGAAAGGCTATCTTAAAGCAAAGGTTTCAATCTTTAATTTAAAACAAGGATCATCATCCCACGATGATTTTTGGCAGTGTTACGGTACTTTGAACTGACATTTGCCAATCTCATAGTCCAATCTCTTTGAAAGGCGTTGCCTTTTCAGGGTTACATTTACAGGCTTACAGTGGCGAGGGTGCTTCGACCTTAGAATCCAGAAATAATATCTCAAAGTAGAGGTTTTAAGCTGTAATTTAAAAGAAAAGTCATCATCGTACGATGATTTTTCACCGAATAATTGTCGGTCGAAGTAGGCCAATTTTTATCGAAAATTTTTCCATGATGTAATTTCTTTGAGCAATATATTACCTGTTGTACTTGGCGATAGCTACATCCAAAGTTTCCAGTGGATCTTTGACCACGTACTGGCGTATACCTCTAATATGATGGTAAAAGTAATCATTCCAGATTATGTTCTCCACATTGAAATTGAACATTTTTCGATCGACAGAATTCAGCTTTCCCCACATTTTCCTCACATTCTCATTGCGGAACTTCCACTGATTCGTCGAGAAATGGTGCACTGCTGTGAGATATTTATTTATTTTTTTATACGAGTCCATTAAACTGAAAAGTCACAATATTTTTCAATGATCGCACTGTCTCGCGTATGGCAACTATGAACACGTTTATTGCCACTAGACTTCTATTGTAAATCAGTAACTTCATAGAATTTGGGAAAGCTGAGATGGCAAGAACCTTGCAGTCGAACAAAGTTAGTTCGACTTTCAGAAATCTTTAATTGTCTAGTCATGGTTAGTGTCCGCAGAAAAATAAGTCACGCAAGGGGTGGGGTCGGCGACGCAGGCGCAGAGGGTCCCACTTAGTAGAGTCAAATGTTTTCATGTAACTGTATCAGAACTCAAACTATTGTACAGGGTGTCTCAATAATGTCTCATAATCCAGAAATGGAAGGTTCCTGAGGCGATTCGAAGTAACTTTTTTCTTAGCAAAAATGCAATCCATGGCTTTGTGTAGGAATTATTAACAAAAAACAGTGACCAATGAGAGGCGAGCTCGGCTGACACGAGGCCGTCCTCCTTGCTATTTTCCTGTGAACGTTGGTCATGGCAATCAACGTGTTTACATGAAACATGTACATACATTGGTTTACGGCCTATGAGACGTGCTATCGTGTCTACGATAAACGCTGGTATCGTGTGCAACAGGAAAGTGCAGACACAATACATGAACTCATTTGTTATGAAGAAAAACATGTAATACCAAATACTATGTATAGATGGTACACGAATTCCATGTTCATAATTATGTTGCATGTACTCTCGCCAAGTAATTGGATTCTGTGGCGACGATACCGAATTATATATAGGCACTTTCTCTTCGTCAGTCAGGTTCGTGTCTATCTCCAATTTCGTTAGAGATTTCCTAAAAAATCAGTAATGTAATATGGTCGCAGTATCCGAGAGAATGTTAGAATATGAGAGGGATATTATCAAGTTAATTAAATAATAAACAATAAATTCTTACTATGCTACCGTTTGTTGCAATCGATGCGTAAACATTTGCTTTTGATTACACTGTCCGACAAAATCAAACCTTTTTTCTGATTTCCTATAACCACTATGAAATTCTTGTAGAGCTTCACTCCCCGAATAAGAATCCGAAAACCAAATTGCTCCATCACCCTCAGTTTTTAAAAAAAAAACGAACATTTGTAAAAACCTAAAATTTTCGACAAAAATGTGATATTGCATGAAAAGTAAAAACGTTAGAAAGTTCTAATCGATGTCAAAAGATAGAGGAGAGTTTCCTGAATATAGTGGCATGCAATTTATTAATTGTTTTTGGTCTTAAATAACTATAAATTAATGTCAAATTTCAAAAAAGTGTCGACGTGTGCAGTTTCTCCGCAATATTTTTGTACTATTACGAAAAGTTCTTTGTTCAGCACGAAAACTCTACCCAGGATCGGATTCTGTAGACATTTTTGAAGAAGAAACGGCTCGATAGAAGTGTCGGAACGATGTACATTTTGAGTAGATCCAGAAAATGTTCGTCGGTAACATGTACACGATGTTTTGCCGCCATGTGCTTCGCTGCTCGCTTCTCTCTGTCCGACAGGGCCGAAACTATGCGTAATCAACACCGATGTAGGGATCCAATGGGGCACCCACTTACCGTAAATAATATTTAAATTCTTTTTAGTATTTCAATGTTTTGTTTTTTTTACATATTTCTGTGGGTAATAATCACTAAACTGTGATATATTTCACACAAAAACAAAACATTGAAGTACTAAAAAGAATTTAAATATTATTTACGAAAAGTGAGTGCCCCATTGGATCCCTACATCGGTGTTGATTACGCANAAATATATATTTAAATATTTATTTAATTATATGGCGTAGAAGTCAAAATTATACTAGTGTTAGAATATTTTCGTTATCCACTGCAAATACTCTGATGTGATTTTTTTTTGTGAAATATATCACAGTTTGGTGATTATTACCCACAGAAATATGTCAAAAAGAAAACAAAACATTGAAGTACTAAAAAGAATTTAAATATTATTTACGAAAAGTGAGTGCCCCATTGGATCCCTACATCGGTGTTGATTACGCATAGTTCCCGCTCTGTCGGACAGAGAGAAGCGAGCAGCGAAGCACATGGCGGTAAAACATCGTGTACATGTTACCGACGAACATTTTCTGGATCTACTCAAAATGTACATCGTTCCGACACTTCTATCGAGCCGTTTCTTCTTCAAAAATGTCTACAGAATCCGATCCTGGGTAGAGTTTTCGTGCTGAACAAAGAACTTTTCGTAATAGTACAAAAATATTGCGGAGAAACTGCACACGTCGACACTTTTTTGAAATTTGACATTAATTTATAGTTATTTAAGACCAAAAACAATTAATAAATTGCATGCCACTATATTCGGGAAACTCTCCTCTATCTTTTGACATCGATTAGAACTTTCTAACGTTTTTACTTTTCATGCAATATCTCATTTTTGTCGAAAATTTTAGGTTTTTACAAATGTTCTTTTTTTTTTTTAAAACTGAGGGTGATGGAGCAATTTGGTTTTCGGATTCTTATTCGGGGAGTGAAGCTCTACAAGAATTTCATAGTGGCTTCAGGAAATCAAAAATCGTGTCGGACAGTGTTATCATACTCATTCGCTATTGCAAGGTAATACAGTGGAGGGCTAAACATTTACTTGAGGGTTTCTATCTTTTTGACTCTGCGTTGTACATTCCAATGAATTTTATCAAGAGAAGACAAAGCATCGAAGTCCTGTGTGAATCTGGTAATGTAATTAATGAAAGTCACGAATTCATTTGTTAAAAAGTTATACGGGTCTAGATATAACCTCTATTGGTTCAGGGAACATCATTTCGAAGACAAATTTATAATAAACAATCTCGGTTGAAGTCGGGGTCATCTGAAGGTCATAGCATTGCAAGTCGTTGAATTAATTTGTTCATCTCTAATAACCCTACCAAGTCGAAATACATAATGCCATTTAAAACAGTGAAGGTGACCTTGACTTTTAATAGAAAAATCATAGTTTTTGAAATTTCTTGTAAAATATTTTTTCGTTTGACTGTTGAAAGTGTTAGAAAAATCTTAGCAACAGTTATTTACCACACTTTGTATAAGTTGCGAAATTTGGAATTCAATCACCAAACGTTCAACATTAAATTATAACGAAACGGTTGTTTTGGGATTTATGGTTCCTTTTGCAAGTTTGCTCCTCTCGATGAGTAGAATAGAACGCAAACGTGAAAAAGTTTGACCTTAAACAATATGGTTAAGGTCACGTCTGCGGAATGTTTTTTTAAACAGATCTCTATCGATCTAAAGGTGTATAGTACATCTATGTTAGCCAGGGCATAACCTATTTTTACACTCTGTGCAACATTCTTTTGAGGTAAAAAATTAATCTCTAAATTTGACCAAATAATGTCATCATTCACATAGATGTCGCGGCAGTCACCTTTTTTTCAAGTGTTGAAAAAAATGGGAACAATAAACGGCACGAACTTGTTGGGACCAACTAATACAAAATAAGGGATATAAATAGAGAATTGACACGCAACGTGTAAAACCGTAAAAAGGGCAACTGTTCGATTCTGACCAGCTTTTACCTGTTCGCAATATCCCAACCAGCAGCAATGATAGTAGCCACGACATAGTCGGCTGGCATCAGGTCAGCAACGTGTTCAGGTATGCAATATCCTACACGTATAAAACCAAGGCCAACTGCAACAACAAAGCCAACACTACCGTATAAATTGTTTATCCACCCATTCAATGGTTCCTCGAATGTCGTCGCAACCATGGAAGGTCTGACAATCCCCGTTGGAATGTCTTGTCCATATTTTAGTACGGCGGCCTCCGCGGTTGCTTTGCTGATAGTATAGTTATTCGGGAATTTGCTGAACAATCTGTAATACAGAACGACTGCATTGCGCCACTGTTTTCATTACGCACTATGACTACCGTTATATACTGCTCGAAAAAAATACATCATAGAAAACTTTTGAATAAAAATCAACCATGACCGACGATAACTCTACGAAAAATTGACGCAGCACGATGATTTTTCTTACAAATTGTTGCTTGAAACCGCTACTTTCTGATAGTCTTTATAGATATTATGCTTATTGCACTCCCGCCACCGTGAGACTGTAATGTGACACTAAATGGACAAGTCCATTCAAAGAGACTGACGTATGAGATTAGTAAGGGTCTGTTCAAAGTGCCCTAATTCCGCAAAAGGTCGTCGTTGGATGATGATCTTTGTTTCAAATTAATGATTAGTATATAACCCTTTCAATATTACCCTAATAAAGCACACCTTTCCAGGCGACTGACATATCAGACAGACGTATCGAAACCGTTCGAAGGATTATTTCGAAGCTTCCATCTTTACGAAAAAAATCGCAGCTGAGTGCCGTTTATTCTAAGTGAAAGTGGAAGGAGCGAACATCGTAAGGCCGCAAACGGCATTTCCGAAAAAAATTTCACAAGATCCGTGAATTTTATCGAACTTGGCAATTTTTAGTATGACAAACATGGCGTCGCATTTAAAGGATTACAATGGTAAGATTGCATCGACCACGAAATCCAGGAATGAAAGTAGAAGTTCCGAGCATGAATTTGAGAATAAGATCTTCGCTCTATGTTGACTTCCCGTCGAGTTATCGTCAGTCGAATTTGGCCGATTCTTGAGCAGTATACACAGCGATTGCTACATTGCAAAAATAATATGTAGTTACGCCGATTTGATAGCTTCGAGTTGATCATTGTCCAGGGAGTTCGCCAACGATATGAAATCGTCAGGATCGATGGTCGCTTTGTAGTGGATTTCGTCGATGACTTTATTGGGACAGTTCGAGAACGCTGTTGACACGTACACGAATGCCTGCGGAATTGTTGAATGTGGATTAATTAAATTGCAATCGATNCTGTCGGACAGAGAGAAGCGAGCAGCGAAGCACATGGCGGTAAAACATCGTGTACATGTTACCGACGAACATTTTCTGGACCTACTCAAAATGTACATCGTTCCGACACTTCTATCGGGCCGTTTCTTCTTCAAAAATGTCTACAGAATCCGATCCTGGGTAGAGTTTTCGTGCTGAACAAAGAACTTTTCGTAATAGTACAAAAATATTGCGGAGAAACTGCACACGTCGACACTTTTTTGAAATTTGACATTAATTTATAGTTATTTAAGACCAAAAACAATTAATAAATTGCATGCCACTATATTCGGGAAACTCTCCTCTATCTTTTGACATCGATTAGAACTTTCTAACGTTTTTACTTTTCATGCAATATCTCATTTTTGTCGAAAATTTTAGGTTTTTACAAATGTTCGTTTTTTTTTTTAAAACTGAGGGTGATGGAGCAATTTGGTTTTCGGATTCTTATTCGGGGAGTGAAGCTCTACAAGAATTTCATAGTGGCTTCAGGAAATCAAAAATCGTGTCGGACAGTGTTATCATACTCATTCGCTATTGCAAGGTAATACAGTGGAGGGCTAAACATTTACTTGAGGGTTTCTATCTTTTTGACTCTGCGTTGTACATTCCAATGAATTTTATCAAGAGAAGACAAAGCATCGAAGTCCTGTGTGAATCTGGTAATGTAATTAATGAAAGTCACGAATTCATTTGTTAAAAAGTTATACGGGTCTAGATATAACCTCTATTGGTTCAGGGAACATCATTTCGAAGACAAATTTATAATAAACAATCTCGGTTGAAGTCGGGGTCATCTGAAGGTCATAGCATTGCAAGTCGTTGAATTAATTTGTTCATCTCTAATAACCCTACCAAGTCGAAATACATAATGCCATTTAAAACAGTGAAGGTGACCTTGACTTTTAATAGAAAAATCATAGTTTTTGAAATTTCTTGTAAAATATTTTTTCGTTTGACTGTTGAAAGTGTTAGAAAAATCTTAGCAACAGTTATTTACCACACTTTGTATAAGTTGCGAAATTTGGAATTCAATCACCAAACGTTCAACATTAAATTATAACGAAACGGTTGTTTTGGGATTTATGGTTCCTTTTGCAAGTTTGCTCCTCTCGATGAGTAGAATAGAACGCAAACGTGAAAAAGTTTGACCTTAAACAATATGGTTAAGGTCACGTCTGCGGAATGTTTTTTTAAACAGATCTCTATCGATCTAAAGGTGTATAGTACATCTATGTTAGCCAGGGCATAACCTATTTTTACACTCTGTGCAACATTCTTTTGAGGTAAAAAATTAATCTCTAAATTTGACCAAATAATGTCATCATTCACATAGATGTCGCGGCAGTCACCTTTTTTTCAAGTGTTGAAAAAAATGGGAACAATAAACGGCACGAACTTGTTGGGACCAACTAATACAAAATAAGGGATATAAATAGAGAATTGACACGCAACGTGTAAAACCGTAAAAAGGGCAACTGTTCGATTCTGACCAGCTTTTACCTGTTCGCAATATCCCAACCAGCAGCAATGATAGTAGCCACGACATAGTCGGCTGGCATCAGGTCAGCAACGTGTTCAGGTATGCAATATCCTACACGTATAAAACCAAGGCCAACTGCAACAACAAAGCCAACACTACCGTATAAATTGTTTATCCACCCATTCAATGGTTCCTCGAATGTCGTCGCAACCATGGAAGGTCTGACAATCCCCGTTGGAATGTCTTGTCCATATTTTAGTACGGCGGCCTCCGCGGTTGCTTTGCTGATAATATAGTTATTCGGGAATTTGCTGAACAATCTGTAATACAGAACGACTGCATTGCGCCACTGTTTTCATTATGCACTATGACTACCGTTATATACTGCTCGAAAAAAATACATCATAGAAAACTTTTGAATAAAAATCAACCATGACCGACGATAACTCTACGAAAAATTGACGCAGCACGATGATTTTTCTTACAAATTGTTGCTTGAAACCGCTACTTTCAGATAGTCTTTATAGATATTATGCTTATTGCACTCCCGCCACCGTGAGACTGTAATGTGACACTAAATGGACAAGTCCATTCAAAGAGACTGACGTATGAGATTAGTAAGGGTCTGTTCAAAGTGCCCTAATTCCGCAAAAGGTCGTCGTTGGATGATGATCTTTGTTTCAAATTAATGATTAGTATATAACCCTTTCAATATTACCCTAATAAAGCACACCTTTCCAGGCGACTGACATATCAGACAGACGTATCGAAACCGTTCGAAGGATTATTTCGAAGCTTCCATCTTTACGAAAAAAATCGCAGCTGAGTGCCGTTTATTCTAAGTGAAAGTGGAAGGAGCGAACATCGTAAGGCCGCAAACGGCATTTCCGAAAAAAATTTCACAAGATCCGTGAATTTTATCGAACTTGGCAATTTTTAGTATGACAAACATGGCGTCGCATTTAAAGGATTACAATGGTAAGATTGCATCGACCACGAAATCCAGGAATGAAAGTAGAAGTTCCGAGCATGAATTTGAGAATAAGATCTTCGCTCTATGTTGACTTCCCGTCGAGTTATCGTCAGTCGAATTTGGCCGATTCTTGAGCAGTATACACAGCGATTGCTACATTGCAAAAATAATATGTAGTTACGCCGATTTGATAGCTTCGAGTTGATCATTGTCCAGGGAGTTCGCCAACGATATGAAATCGTCAGGATCGATGGTCGCTTTGTAGTGGATTTCGTCGATGACTTTATTGGGACAGTTCGAGAACGCTGTTGACACGTACACGAATGCCTGCGGAATTGTTGAATGTGGATTAATTAAATTGCAATCGATTCGTTCGTCACGTTGTCGACCAAGATGATCGTCTACCTTTAAGTTCGGCAAATCTTTCGCCCACAGCAACAAACGCTTCGTGATCCTCACGTTGATGTTCATTACCAGTCGAAGCTCTTCGTCGAATCGAACGGTCGCGGCAGCGTGAAACACGACATTCGTGTTCTTCAACATATCATTGACTTCCTCCACAACGTTGAAGTCCTCTTCAGCGATATCACTCTCTATCATCACGATCTTGTCAATGAAATCTGGTCTCTCGTGCTTTAGTCTATCGTACACCTAGTCAAGCGAAAAGCTATTGTTAGTACGTCCATCGTCGTGTCGATATGCAATTTAGGGGAGTCATTTTCGGTTTCGGTGATACTCGAGTATTTTGCTGAGGAGACCTAACCTAGACGTGACCTGGATCCAATGTAGACTTAATTTTGACATAATCTAGATCGAACTTAGACTTACCATAGGTAAAAAATCTACGTTTAACCTCGATCAAACCCAGATTTAACCTGGGTAAAATCTAGACTTAAACTAAACCTGACCTGGATCGAACGTAGCTTCAACCTAGAGCAAAAACCTAGATTTAGTCTAGATCAAACCTAGATTTAACCTAACTCATACTTAGACTTAAGCCAGATCTATCCTAGACTTTATCTAAAAACAGAATGACTAACACATTACTCATATGTCATTCGGTAAGGCCTGGTTCAGACCTGAAGCGAAGAAATTTATTAGAATCTTGCTACATCGTTCAATCCTGTTTGTGTTCAAGAGTATTTCAGGTAACCCTCCGGCACTGTTTTTCGACTGAAGTGCGATAGAACGGCAAGAAAAACTCGTATATCAAGTTTTTCAGTGGTTCTTGCAAACAGGAGACTTCCTTCTACATGAACACCTGGAAACGAATCTACTAAAAAATTGTTTAAACTCCTCAGGATTACTTGAATCTGAAAAAATTACCGGAATAAAATACGTGCGAGTAATGGGCAAAGTGGCATCGGTTTCCCTCGCGAAAAGTATAAGTCGTGTGTTGTCGAAGCATATGCTTCACTGTTTAAAACGTGATCGGGTAGAACATTGTACAATTTTTTTCACTAAGTTGCGGGCAATACGAACATGACCGGAAACGAGCCTCTACTCTTGGTGGCTGGCTTAGAACTAGAACCTATTGTCGATACGTTTAATTGCGGTACGTACGGGTACGTCAAAGTTCTCTTTGAACCGTTCTTCTGCAGATTTTCCCTTTTTCGGCCTCACGATCATGTAAAGCTTCGCTATGCCTGGACAAGACCTGCAAGCAATGCGGCAAAACACTTCGACAACGGTGTTCATTTATCGATCGATTAGTGAGCTGCGATCGATTCCGAGTGAATTCATACAGCGAGTGCAAAAACGAGTGTGATTCATTGCATGATTCGTGCTTAGACGGTTATGATCTTTGTTTAGGGTTGGAAGCGGGACGTCGTTTACAGTTCAACGATACCGTTAATGAGACATTAAATTCGCGTGAGAAACAAATAAAGGACCGTGCAACAGCGGCTGTCTGTTTGTTCGCCGGAAAAAAGTGGAAAACACCAGCGACGATATATTTATCGCAGTTATTTCTTTTTCATTGTTCCGCGCGCGTTTGCTGATTTATTGTTTATTATGGATCATGCCGAGAGGCTACACCAATCTTTCTTTTTCTGTTTCTCTCGGTAATAAATTCAATTGATAATTAAGTCGAATGTAAACATTTGTCGCGACCGGATGTTCGTTCCGCCTCGGTGTATTAATAACGATGCAGCGCGAATAAATTTCACGGCAGGTCCGAATCCGATTATCGGAATGAATTACCTCAGCAATTTCTCGACAAGCAGCTGGCCGATGAATCCCGTTCCACCAGTCACCAATACGTTCGTTCGATCATAGAAATCGGCGATCTCGCTTCTTTCGTCGCCGCGCAAAATTTGCAATTCCGGCGAACTCGATGCATCGTTCGACTCGATGTTGTCCGACACCATGTCCTCCTCCCTATGCACCGATGCAATTCTTAAAATGCAGCAATCCGAGCGCAACCGTTCGAGGACCAACTTTTCTAACCGAACCTGTCACGGTTTCTTTCTTTTTTAGAATTATCGAATTTCTCTCATTTGTACGATCGTTACGCTCGCATTACAATCCGCGCCCTAATTTACAGTAAATTCACCCTAATTGACCATCCTAATCTTCCTAAAATGAGCAATTGGTGATAGGATTATTCCAGCCTCGCGAATCGTTTTTAAAGTTGTCAACAATAATCGTTAAGTATAAAAACGAGCCACATCGCTCGAATAATCGTAATAAAATATGAAATAAATAAAATTACCCCAACATATATCAATCCTATTTAACCTAAATATAATAAATAACTAAATTTTATAGTTCTTGAATTTAACCCATTCAAATAACATCATTAAATTAAATATATCTATGCATATCCGGATCATAAATAATATAATTCTTAGTAATATTGTCACCAATCCAAAAATGATCAATTAATATATAATCTAAAGTATAATAATTGCCGCTCAGCTTGGAAACGAAAATGAACAATTTGGGTTGAGGAGGTTCGATTATTCCCAAATTGACCATTTTCGTGTACAATCAGAGCTTCAATTAGTGAGAATTTACTGTATCCTTCAAACGGATTTACGGGAATAGCGACAAATTGTAATGAAGCGAGAACAATCGAATGAATTGTAGATCAATTTTTCGAATCAATTTTCCGATGCAGATTATTGCCAATAGGTCGCTATGGCTTCATTGCGGATAGAGAATTAATTTCGTGGGACATTTTATGCGAAGTAAGACAAAAGCCAAAATTGATTCTGTCCACTCCAAAATGTCCCCGCGATTCTAAAGTAAGATTTTTATAACATAATCTTCGTATCGTAAAGATTGTAATGATTATAATTTAATCATTAATTCAGGAGACGAGAAAAAAACTGGCAAAATCCATCCGATGAACAACAATTTTATTCGACACGGTTGATATTACGGTTTATAATAGAAATCAGTTTGAAATGTTGCGAGGAATGATCGAGCACGGGAAAATTAATTGAGCGATATTGTCTTACTTTACCTTTGTTAATTGATTTAGCCGAGCTGCAAGAATTTCGTGGGTGACGGTTTCGGATGCACGCACAACGACCACTGAATTTCGAATGCGAAGGACCGCGATGTGATAGTTTTATTTAAAGAGCGAGAATGACTATCTTTATATGGTAATGTGTTCCGTCTTTTGATTGTTCCAACAATTCGTACGCAAATAAGCTGTCGCTGTTTCCTACAGTTGCGAGTTCATTACATTCATTTCCGCATTGATCAGAAATCTGGAAATCATTGGAGAAAGAGATTGTATGTTAACAACTGCGATAATCGAACCTGAAAATCAATGGAACAGAATAGAACGTTGCAAAAATTGTTGGGATTGGCAGAAATTGTACCTTAAAACTAAAAGACGTCGATGCTAATTACAAGCTATCGCGTAAATATTACAAGTTGCCCGCGTGTCTGACATTATCTATGTTTAGTTTAAATTTAAACTTATCTTTGTCTTTAAATTACTACTTTTCTCATGATCATTTAACACATAAAATGTTGTTAGATCGCTGTCTATAATACTGTCCGACAAATTCAAACATTTTTTCCGATTTTCTATAGCCACTACGAAATTCTTGTAGAGCTTCATGCCTCGAACAAGAATTCGAAAAAGGAGCTTTCGTAAATGCCGACAATGAGCGATTTAAATACAATTGTTTGCTTCACCGGGAAATCATTTATTCAATATAGTCAAAACGAAAGATACAATTGGTACAGTACGCCATGCCACCAACAGCGTAATTAGCGTCACTACCATGTAATGTGCTATGCGCAGTCTGGAACACAAAACGTAATGCTCGATCAGATGGAATAATTCGACCACTATAATGTATACTGCCATATACACTGATCGAAGGAGTAATATCATAGAAAAATTTCTGATAAAAATCGGTCAAATGTGACTGACGACAACTCTGCGAAAACTTAATGTAGAGTGAAGATCTTGTTTTCAAATTCAAGCATAGAACCACTACTTTCAGAAACTGTTTCTGGATTTTAAGTACGACGCATCCTCGCCACTGTAATCCTTAAAATGCGAGAACGTGTTTACCATATTGAAAATTGCCAAATTCGACGAAATACACGGTCTTTGTAAAATTTTTTTCGGAAATGCCATTGAGAGCCGAACGAAGTTCGACCCTTCCCCTTTCGTTCTGAAAAAATGGCACTCGTCTGCAACATTTTTTCGCGAAGTTAGAGTACTTCGAAGTAACCCTTGCCAATCTGATATGTTAGGGGTGCTGTTTTTAGGGATACATTTAAAGGATTGCAGTTGCAAGGGTACGTCGAGGATAAAATCGAGAAAGGCTATCATAAAGCAGGGGTTTCAATCTTTAATTTGAAACGAAGAACATCATTCAATGACAATATTTCGCGGACCTACGCCACTTTAAAGTGACATTCGCCAATCTCAGGCCAATCTCTTTGAAAGTGGTTGCCTTTTTATTCAGAGACGAGTAATCGTCGGTCGAAGTAGGCCAATTTTTATAGAAAATTTTTCCCCCGATGTAATTTGTTTGAAAAATATATTACCTGTTGTACTTGGCGATAGCTGCATCCACAGTTTCCAGTGGATCGTTTACCAAGTACTGCCGTAAACCTCTAACATGATGGTAAAAGTAATCATTCCAGATTATGTTCTCCACGTTGAAGTTGAACATTTTCCGATCGACAGAATTCAACTTTCCCCACATTTTCCTCACATTCTCATTGCGGAATTCCCACTGTTTCGCCGAGAAATAATTGGTCGCTCTGTCATACTTATGTTGTTTTTTATATGTATCCATTAACCTGAAAAGTCCCAATATTTTTCAATGATTGTACTACCTCGCGTGTGACAAATGTGAACACGTTTATTGTCATTCGACTTCCATTGTGGACCAGTAAGTTCATAGAATTTGGCAAAGCTGAGATGGCAAGAACCATGCAGCTTCGTTAAGTTAATTCGACTTTCAGAAATCTTTAATTGTGTAGTCATAGTCAGTGTCTGCAGGAAAATAAGTCACGCAAGGGGTGGGGTTCGCGACGCAGCCGCAGGGAATTACGCCCAGTGGCGCCACAACGCGGCTTCTCGGGACACATATATATGATTCAAATATTCTCGTGCAACTGTATCAGAACTCAAATTATTGCACAGGGTGTCTCAAAAATGTCTCGTAATCCGGAAATGGAAGGTGATTATGAAATATTTCTGTGCTTCGAACTGCAACGAACAATTTTGTACGCATTTTTCTGCCACATAATGCGGCTAAATGATTACATTGTCGACAAAATAATGTCAAGTATAGAACATCTATTGCCAATCTTATTTTCTGTAAAACAAATTCAACAGTATTTGTAATAACAATGTTTTCAATGATATAACAGAATTTTGTAGGCAATTTTCCTTGTTTGATGGACAATGTTATCATTCAGCCATATTATGCAGCAGAGGAAGGAATATAAAACTGTTTGTTACGATTCGAAGCGCAGAAACTTTTCAGATTCTTATAAGACGCGCCACGTTGTTGTGCATAACTCCTGGCGCATGCTTCGCTTAACCCTTCAGTCCTTGCTAATTTCCTGCGAACGTTGATCATGACAATCAACGTGTTTACATGAAACACGTACGTACCTTGGTTTACGGCCTATGAGATGTGCTATCGTGTCTACGATAATCGCTGGTATCGTGTGCAACAGGGAAGTGTAAACGCAATTCATGAACTTATTTCTGGAGAAGTAAAACATGTAATACCAAATAGTGTGTACAGACGGTACACGAACTCCATGTTTCTTAGTCAGTTCCTGGTACTGTCGCCAAGTGATTGGATTCTGTGGCGACGATACCGAATTATATATAGGTACCTTCTCTTCGTCAGTCAGGTTCGTGTCTATCTCCAATTTCGTTAGAGATTTCCTAAAAAATCAGTAATGTAATACGGTCAGAGTATCGGAGAGAATGTTAGAATATGAGCGGGATACTATCAAGTTAATTAAATAATAAACAATAAATTCTTGCTATGCTACCGTTTGATGCAATCGATGCGGAAAACATTTGCATTTGATTATCACACTCATTCGCTATTGCAAGGTAATACAGTGGAAGGCTGAACATTTACTTGAGGGTTTCTACCTTTTTGACTCTGCGGTGAACATTCCAATGAATTTTATCAAGAAAAGACAAAACATCGAAATCCTGAATCTGGTAATGTAATTAATGAAAGTCCTGAATTCATTTATTAAAAAGTTATACGAGTCTAGAGATAATCTCTATTGGTTCAGAGGACGTCATTTCGAAGACAAATTTATAATAAACAATCTCTGTCGTTTAAACGTAAATTGCTGAAGTCGGGGTCATCTGATGGTCATAGTAATGCAAGTCGTTGAATTAATTTGTTCATCCGTAATAACCCTACGAAGTCGAAATACATGATGCCATTTAAAACAGTGAAGGTGACCTTGACTTTTAATAGGAAAACCATACTTTTTGAAATTTGTTGTAAAACATTTTTTCGTTTGACTATTGAAAGTGCTAGAAAAATCTTAGCAACAGTTATTTACCACACTTTGTATAAATTACGCAAAATGGAATGCAATCAGCAAACGTTCAACATTAAATTATAACGAAACGATTGTTTTGGGATATATGATTCCTTTTGCAAGTTTGCTCCTCTCGATGAGTAGAATAGAACGCAAACGTGAAAAAGTTTGACCTTAAACAATATGGTCAAGGTCACTTCAATGGAATGTTTTCTTAACGGATCTCTATCAATCTAAAGGTGTATAGTACATCTATGTTAGCCATGACATAACCTTTTTTTACACTCTGTGCAATATTCTTTCGAGGTAAAAAATTAATCTTCAGATTTGATCAAATAATGTCATTAATCATACATAGATGTCGCGACAGTCAGTGTTGAAGAAAATGGGAATAGTAAACAGCATGAACTTGGCGGGATCAACTATTAAAAAACGAATGATATAAATAGAGAATTGACACGCGACGTACAACACCGTAGGCAGGGCAACTGTACGATTCCGACTAGCTGTTACCTGTTCGCAATATCCCAACCTGCAGCAATAACAGTAGCCACGACGTAGTCAGCTGGTATCTGTTCAGAGACGTATTCAGGTATGCAATATATTGTACGAAGATAACCAAGGGCAATTCCAACAACAATGCCAGTAGTACCGTATAAATTGTTTGTCCACCCCTTCAATGGTTCCTCCGACGTCGGCATGACAATAGACGGTCTGACAATTCCTGTTGGAATATTTTGTCCGTATTTTAGTACAGCGGCCTCCGCGGTTGCTTTGCTGATAATATAGTTATTCGGGAATTTGCTGAACAATCTGTAATACAGAACGACTGCATTGCGCCACTGTTTTCATTATGCACTATGACTACCGTTATATACTGCTCGAAAAAAATACATCATAGAAAACTTTTGAATAAAAATCAACCATGACCGACGATAACTCTACGAAAAATTGACGCAGCACGATGATTTTTCTTACAAATTGTTGCTTGAAACCGCTACTTTCTGATAGTCTTTATAGATATTATGCTTATTGCACTCCCGCCACCGTGAGCCTGTAATGTGACACTAAATGGGCAAGTCCATTCAAAGAGACTGACGTATGAGATTAGTAAGGGTCTGTTCAAAGTGCCCTAATTCCGCAAAAGGTCGTCGTTGGATGATGATCTTTGTTTCAAATTAATGATTAGTATATAACCCTTTCAATATTACCCTAATAAAGCACACCTTTCCAGGCGACTGACATATCAGACAGACGTATCGAAACCGTTCGAAGGATTATTTCGAAGCTTCCATCTTTACGAAAAAAATCGCAGCTGAGTGCCGTTTATTCTAAGTGAAAGTGGAAGGAGCGAACATCGTAAGGCCGCAAACGGCATTTCCGAAAAAAATTTCACAAGATCCGTGAATTTTATCGAACTTGGCAATTTTTAGTATGACAAACATGGCGTCGCATTTAAAGGATTACAATGGTAAGATTGCATCGACCACGAAATCCAGGAATGAAAGTAGAAGTTCCGAGCATGAATTTGAGAATAAGATCTTCGCTCTATGTTGACTTCCCGTCGAGTTATCGTCAGTCGAATTTGGCCGATTCTTGAGCAGTATACACAGCGATTGCTACATTGCAAAAATAATATGTAGTTACGCCGATTTGATAGCTTCGAGTTGATCATTGTCCAGGGAGTTCGCCAACGATATGAAATCGTCAGGATCGATGGTCGCTTTGTAGTGGATTTCGTCGATGACTTTATTGGGACAGTTCGAGAACGCTGTTGACACGTACACGAATGCCTGCGGAATTGTTGAATGTGGATTAATTAAATTGCAATCGATTCGTTCGTCACATTGTCGACCAAGATGATCGTCTACCTTTAAGTTCGGCAATCCTTTCGCCCACAGCAACAAACGCTTCGTGACCCTCACGTTGGTGTTCATTACCAGCCGAAGCTCTTCGTCGAATCGAACGGTCGCGGCAGCGTGAAACACGACATTCGTGTTCTTCAACATGTCATTGACTTCCTCCACAACGTTGAAGTCCTCTTCAGCGATATCACTCTCTATCATCACGATCTTGTCAATGAAATCTGGTCTCTCGTGCTTTAGTCTATCGTACACCTAGTCAAGCGAAAAGCTATTGTTAGTACGTCCATCGTCGTGTCGATATGCAATTTAGGGGAGTCATTTTCGGTTTCGGTGATACTCGAGTATTTTGCTGAGGAGACCTAACCTAGACGTGACCTGGATCCAATGTAGACTTAATTTTGACATAATCTAGATCGAACTTAGACTTACCATAGGTAAAAAATCTACATTTAACCTCGATCAAACCCAGATTTAACCTGGGTAAAATCTAGACTTAAACTAAACCTGACCTGGATCGAACGTAGCTTCAACCTAGAGCAAAAACCTAGATTTAGTCTAGATCAAACCTAGATTTAACCTAACTCATACTTAGACTTAAGCCAGATCTATCCTAGATTTTATCTAAAAACAGAATGACTAACACATTACTCATATGTCATTCGGTAAGGCCTGGTTCAGACCTGAAGCGAAGAAATTTATTAGAATCTTGCTACATCGTTCAATCCTGTTTGTGTTCAAGAGTATTTCAGGTAACCCTCCGGCACTGTTTTTCGACTGAAGTGCGATAGAACGGCAAGAAAAACTCGTATATCAAGTTTTTCAGTGGTTCTTGCAAACAGGAGACTTCCTTCTACATGAACACCTGGAAACGAATCTACTAAAAAATTGTTTAAACTCCTCAGGATTACTTGAATCTGAAAAAATTACCGGAATAAAATACGTGCGAGTAATGGGCAAAGTGGCATCGGTTTCCCTCGCGAAAAGTATAAGTCGTGTGTTGTCGAAGCATATGCTTCACTGTTTAAAACGTGATCGGGTAGAACATTGTACAATTTTTTTCACTAAGTTGCGGGCAATACGAACATGACCGGAAACGAGCCTCTACTCTTGGTGGCTGGCTTAGAACTAGAACCTATTGTCGATACGTTTAATTGCGGTACGTACGGGTACGTCAAAGTTCTCTTTGAACCGTTCTTCTGCAGATTTTCCCTTTTTCGGCCTCACGATCATGTAAAGCTTCGCTATGCCTGGACAAGACCTGCAAGCAATGCGGCAAAACACTTCGACAACGGTGTTCATTTATCGATCGATTAGTGAGCTGCGATCGATTCCGAGTGAATTCATACAGCGAGTGCAAAAACGAGTGTGATTCATTGCATGATTCGTGCTTAGACGGTTATGATCTTTGTTTAGGGTTGGAAGCGGGACGTCGTTTACAGTTCAACGATACCGTTAATGAGACATTAAATTCGCGTGAGAAACAAATAAAGGACCGTGCAACAGCGGCTGCCTGTTTGTTCGCCGGAAAAAAAGTGGAAAACACCAGCGACGATATATTTATCGCAGTTATTTTTTTTTCATTGTTCCGCGCGCGTTTGCTGATTTATTGTTTATTATGGATCATGTCGAGAGGCTACACCAATCTTTCTTTTTCTGTTTCTCTCGGTAATAAATTCAATTGATAATTAAGTCGAATGTAAACATTTGTCGCGACCGGATGTTCGTTCCGCCTCGGTGTATTAATAACGATGCAGCGCGAATAAATTTCACGGCAGGTCCGAATCCGATTATCGGAATGAATTACCTCAGCAATTTCTCGACAAGCAGCTGGCCGATGAATCCCGTTCCACCAGTCACCAATACGTTCGTTCGATCATAGAAATCGGCGATCTCGCTTCTTTCGTCGCCGCGCAAAATTTGCAATTCCGGCGAACTCGATGCATCGTTCGACTCGATGTTGTCCGACACCATGTCCTCCTCCCTATGCACCGATGCAATTCTTAAAATGCAGCAATCCGAGCGCAACCGTTCGAGGACCAACTTTTCTAACCGAACCTGTCACGGTTTCTTTCTTTTTTAGAATTATCGAATTTCTCTCATTTGTACGATCGTTACGCTCGCATTATAATCCGCGCCCTAATTTACAGTAAATTCACCCTAATTGACCACCCTAATCTTCCTAAAATGAGCAATTGGTGATAGGATTATTCCAGCCTCGCGAATCGTTTTTATAGTTGTCGACAATAATCGTTAAGTATAAAAACGAGCCACATCGCTCGAATAATCGTAATAAAATATGAAATAAATAAAATTACCCCAACATATATCAATCCTATTTAACCTAAATATAATAAATAACTAAATTTTATAGTTCTTGAATTTAACCCATTCAAATAACATCATTAAATTAAATATATCTATGCATATCCGGATCATAAATAATATAATTCTTAGTAATATTGTCACCAATCCAAAAATGATCAATTAATATATAATCTAAAGTATAATAATTGCCGCTCAGCTTGGAAACGAAAATGAACAATTTGGGTTGAGGAGGTTCGATTATTCCCAAATTGACCATTTTCGTGTACAATCAGAGCTTCAATTAGTGAGAATTTACTGTATCCTTCAAACGGATTTACGGGAATAGCGACAAATTGTAATGAAGCGAGAACAATCGAATGAATTGTAGATCAATTTTTCGAATCAATTTTCCGATGCAGATTATTGCCAATAGGTCGCTATGGCTTCATTGCGGATAGAGAATTAATTTCGTGGGACATTTTATGCGAAGTAAGACAAAAGCCAAAATTGATTCTGTCCACTCCAAAATGTCCCCGCGATTCTAAAGTAAGATTTTTATAACATAATCTTCGTATCGTAAAGATTGTAATGATTATAATTTAATCATTAATTCAGGAGACGAGAAAAAAACTGGCAAAATCCATCCGATGAACAACAATTTTAATCGACACGGTTGAGATTACGGTTTATAATAGAAATCAGTTTGAAATGTTGCGAGGAATGATCGAGCATGGGAAAATTAATTGAGCGATATTGTCTTACTTTACCTTTGTTAATTGATTTACCCGAGCTGCAAGAATTTCGTGGGTGACGGTTTCGGATGCACGCACAACGACCACTGAATTTCGAATGCGAAGGACCGCGATGTGATAGTTTTATTTAAAGAGCGAGAATGACTATCTTTATATGGTAATGTGTTCCGTCTTTTGATTGTTCCAACAATTCGTACGCAAACAAGCTGTCGCTGTTTCCTACAGTTGCGAGTTCATTAAGCGAGTTCATTACATTCATTTCCGCATTGATCAGAAATCTGGAAATCATTGGAGAAAGGGATTGTGTGTTAACAACCGCGATAATTGAACCTGAAAGTCAATGGAACAGAATAGAACGTTGCAAAAATTGTAGGAATCGACAGAAATTGTACCTTAAAACTAAAAGACGTCGATGCTAATTATAAGCTATCGCGTAAATATTACAAGTTGCCCGTGTGTCTGACATTATCTACGTTTAGTTTAAATTTAAACTTATCTTTGGCTTTAAATTACTACTTTTCTCATGGTGATCGTTAATTTAGCTTTCCCCACATTTTCCTCACATTCTCATTGCGGAACATCCACTGTTTCGCCGAGAAATAATTGATCGCTCCAGCATACATATGTAGTTTTTTATATGTGTCCCTTATAAGCTGAAAAGTCCCAATATTTTTCAATGATTGTTCTACCTCGCGTGTGACAAATGTGAACACATTTATTGTCATTCGACTTCCATTGTGGTCCAGTAAGTTCATAGAATTTGGCAAAGCTGAGATGGCAAGAACCATGCAGCTTCGCTAAGTTAATTCGACTTTCAGAAATCTTTAATTGTGTAGTCATAGTCAGTGTCTGCAGGAAAATAAGTCACGCAAGGGGTGGGGTTCGCGACGCAGCCGCAGGGAATTCCGCCCAGTGGCGCCACAACGCGGCTTCTCGGGACACATATATATGATTCAAATATTCTCGTGCAACTGTATCAGAACTCAAATTATTGCACAGGGTGTCTCAAAAATGTCTCGTAATCCGGAAATGGAAGGTGATTATGAAATATTTCTGTGCTTCGAACTACAACGAACAATTTTATACGCATTTTTCTGCCATATAATGCGGCTAAATGATTACATTGTCGACGAAATAATGTCAAGTATAAAACATCTATTGCCAATCTTATTTTCTGTAAAACAAATTCAACAGTATTTGTAATAACAATGTTTTCAATGATATAACAGAATTTTGTAGGCAATTTTCCTTGTTTGATGGACAATGTTATCATTCAGCCATATTATGCAGCAGAGGAAGGAATATAAAACTGTTTGTTACGATTCGAAGCGCAGAAACTTTTCAGATTCTTATAAGACGCGCCACGTTGTTGTGCATAACTCCTGGAGCATGCTTCGCTTAACCCTTCAGTCCTTGCTAATTTCCTGCGAACGTTGATCATGACAATCAACGTGTTTACATGAAACACGTACGTACCTTGGTTTACGACCTATGAGATGTGCTATCGTGTCTACGATAATCGCTGGTGTCGTGTGCAACAGGGAAGTGTAAACGCAATTCATGAACTTATTTCTGGAGAAGTAAAACATGTAATACCAAATAGTGTGTACAGACGGTACACGAACTCCATGTTTCTTAGTCAGTTCCTGGTACTGTCGCCAAGTGATTGGATTCTGTGGCGACGATACCGAATTATATATAGGTACCTTCTCTTCGTCAGTCAGGTTCGTGTCTATCTCCAATTTCGTTAGAGATTTCCTAAAAAATCAGTAATGTAATACGGTCAGAGTATCGGAGAGAATGTTAGAATAAGAGCGGGATACTATCAAGTTAATTAAATAATAAACAATAAATTCTTGCTATGCTACCGTTTGATGCAATCGATGCGGAAAACATTTGCATTTGATTATCACACTCATTCGCTATTGCAAGGTAATACAGTGGAAGGCTGAACATTTACTTGAGGGTTTCTACCTTTTTGACTCTGCGGTGAACATTCCAATGAATTTTATCAAGAAAAGACAAAACATCGAAATCCTGAATCTGGTAATGTAATTAATGAAAGTCCTGAATTCATTTATTAAAAAGTTATACGAGTCTAGAGATAATCTCTATTGGTTCAGAGGACGTCATTTCGAAGACAAATTTATAATAAACAATCTCTGTCGTTTAAACGTAAATTGCTGAAGTCGGGGTCATCTGATGGTCATAGTAATGCAAGTCGTTGAATTAATTTGTTCATCCGTAATAACCCTACGAAGTCGAAATACATGATGCCATTTAAAACAGTGAAGGTGACCTCGACTTTTAATAGGAAAACCATACTTTTTGAAATTTGTAGTAAAACATTTTTTGTTTGACTGTTGAAAGTGCTAGAAAAATCTTAGCAACAGTTATTTACCCCACTTTTTATAAGTTACGAAAAATGGAATTCAATCAGCAAACGTTCAACATTAAATTATAACGAAACGGTTGTTTTGGGATATATGGTTCCTTTTGCAAGTTTGCTCCTCTCGATGAGTAGAATAGAACGCAAACGTGAAAAAGTTTGACCTTAAACAATATGGTCAAGGTCACTTCTGTGGAATGTTTTCTTAACAGATCTCTATCAATCTAAAGGTGTATAGTACATCTACGTTAGCCATGACATAACCTTTTTTTACACTCTGTGCAATATTCTTTCGAGGTAAAACATTAATCTTCAGATTTGACCAAATAATGTCATACTTAACGGGATCAACTAATAAAAAACGAATGATATAAATAGAGAATTGACACGCGACGTGCAACACCGTAGGCAGGGCAACTGTACGATTTCGACTAGCTGTTACCTGTTCGTAATGTCCCAATCTGCAGCAATAACAGTAGCCACGACGTAGTCAGCTGGTATCTGTTCAGAGACGTATTCAGGTATGCAATATATTGTACGTAGGAAACCACGGGCAATTCCAACAACAGCGCCAGTACCACCATATGGTTCCTCCGATGTCGGCATGACAATAAACGGTCTGACAATCCCTGTTGGAATATTTTGTCCGTATTTTAGTACAGCGGCCTCCGCGGTTGCTTTGCTGATAGTATAGTTATTCGGGAATTTGCTGAACAATCTGTGATACAGAACGACTGCAATGCGCCACTGTTTTTATTATGCACTATGACAATCGTTGTATAGTGCTTGAAAAAATTACTGCATAGAAAAATTTTGAATAAGAATCAACCATGACAGACGATAACTCTAAGAAAAATTGTCGCAGCACGATGATCCTTCTTACAAATTGACGCTTGGAACCTCTACTTTCAGATAGCCTTTCTCGATTTTATGCTTGTCGCACTCTTGCCACCGTATGCCTTTAAATGTAATCCTAAACATAGGGTTAACCCTTTAGGTAGGTAAACTCTTTCAAAGAGACTGAATATGAGATTAGCAGGGGTCAGTTCAAACTGCCGCAACTCCGCAAAAGATCGTCGTGGGATGATGATCTCTGTTTCAAATTAAAGATTGAAACATGTACTTTAAGACAGCCCCTTCCAGGCGACTCACGTATCAGATTGACGTATCATAACCCTTCCAAGGGTTAATTCGATGTGCTCTAACTTTACGAAAAACATCGCACTCAAGTTCCTTAGTGAGAATTTACTGTATCCTTCAAACGGATTTACGGGAATAGCGACAAATTGTAATGAAGCGAGAACAATCGAATGAATTGTAGATCAATTTTTCGAATCAATTTTCCGATGCAGATTATTGCCAATAGGTCGCTATGGCTTCATTGCGGATAGAGAATTAATTTCGTGGGACATTTCATGCGAAGTAAGACAAAAGCCAAAATTGATTCTGTCCACTCGAAAATGACCCCGCGATTCTAACGTAAGATTCTTATGACATAATCTTCGTATCATAAAGGTTATTATGATTATTATTTAGTCGTTAATTCAAAAAAGGAGAACAAAACTGGCAAAAGCCATCCAATGAACAACAATTTTAATCGGCACGATTGAGATTACAGTTTATAATAGAAATCAGTTTGAAATGTTGCGAGGAATGATCGAGCACGGGAAAATTAATTGAGCGATATTGTCTTACTTTACCTTCGTTAATTGATTTACCCGAGCTGCAAAAATTTCGTGGGTGACGGTTTCAGATGCGCGCACAACGACCACTGAATTTCGACTGTGAAGGGCAGCGATGTGATACAGTTTTATATGAAGAGTATGCAAACGAGTTCATTATGCAAGTTCATTACATTCACTTTCTCATCGAGCAGTTACTAATCTGAAAATCGTTTGAGAAAGAAAATTTATGCTAACAGCCGCCGTAATTGAACCTCATAATCGATGGAACAGAATAAAATGTTGCAAAAATTGCAGAGATCGGCGGAAATTGTATCTTAAAACTAAAAGGTGTCGATGCTAATTATAAGCTATCGCTATTTTTCCTGTAAATCAAGGGTGGCCAAAGCATCGAAAATTCTCAGTCGCCCGCCTGTCTGATATTATTTATGATTAGTTTAAATTTAAACTTATCTTTGGCTTTAAATTACTACTTTTCTCATGATTATTTAACACATAAAATGTTGATAGATCGCTGTCTATAATACTGTCCGACAATTTCAAACACTTTTTCCGATTGCCTATAACCACTATGAAATTCTTGTAGAGCTTCATGCCTCGAACAAGAATTTGAAAACCGAATTGCTCCATCACTTCCAGTTTTCGAAAAAAAGGAGCTTTTGTAAATGTCGACAATGAGCGATTTAAATACAATTGTTTGCTTCACCGGGAAATCATTTATTCAATATAGTCGAATATTAATTAATAAGCCCAAGGAAAGTGCGACCAAACGAAAGATACAATTGGTAGAGTGAGCCATGCCACTAACAGCGTAATTAGCGTCACTACCGTGTAATGTGCTATGCGTAGTCTGGAACAAAAAACGTAATGATTAGATAGAATAATTCAATCACTATAATATACACTGCTATATACACTGCTCAAAGAAATAATGTCATAGAAAAATTTCTGATAAGAGTCGGTCAAATGTGACTGACGACAACTCTGCGAAAACTTAATGTAGAATGAAGATCTTGTTTTCAAATTCAAGCATGGAACTTCTACTTTCAGAAACAGTTTCTGGATTTTAAGTACGACGCATCCTCGCCACTATAATCCTTAAAATGCGAGAACGTGTTTGCCATATTGGAAATTGCCAAGTTCGACGAAATTCACGGTCTTTGTAAAATTTTTTTCGGAAATGCCATTGATNCTACGAAGTCGAAATACATGATGCCATTTAAAACAGTGAAGGTGACCTCGACTTTTAATAGGAAAACCATACTTTTTGAAATTTGTAGTAAAACATTTTTTGTTTGACTGTTGAAAGTGCTAGAAAAATCTTAGCAACAGTTATTTACCCCACTTTTTATAAGTTACGAAAAATGGAATTCAATCAGCAAACGTTCAACATTAAATTATAACGAAACGGTTGTTTTGGGATATATGGTTCCTTTTGCAAGTTTGCTCCTCTCGATGAGTAGAATAGAACGCAAACGTGAAAAAGTTTGACCTTAAACAATATGGTCAAGGTCACTTCTGTGGAATGTTTTCTTAACAGATCTCTATCAATCTAAAGGTGTATAGTACATCTACGTTAGCCATGACATAACCTTTTTTTACACTCTGTGCAATATTCTTTCGAGGTAAAACATTAATCTTCAGATTTGACCAAATAATGTCATACTTAACGGGATCAACTAATAAAAAACGAATGATATAAATAGAGAATTGACACGCGACGTGCAACACCGTAGGCAGGGCAACTGTACGATTTCGACTAGCTGTTACCTGTTCGTAATGTCCCAATCTGCAGCAATAACAGTAGCCACGACGTAGTCAGCTGGTATCTGTTCAGAGACGTATTCAGGTATGCAATATATTGTACGTAGGAAACCACGGGCAATTCCAACAACAGCGCCAGTACCACCATATGGTTCCTCCGATGTCGGCATGACAATAAACGGTCTGACAATCCCTGTTGGAATATTTTGTCCGTATTTTAGTACAGCGGCCTCCGCGGTTGCTTTGCTGATAGTATAGTTATTCGGGAATTTGCTGAACAATCTGTGATACAGAACGACTGCAATGCGCCACTGTTTTTATTATGCACTATGACAATCGTTGTATAGTGCTTGAAAAAATTACTGCATAGAAAAATTTTGAATAAGAATCAACCATGACAGACGATAACTCTAAGAAAAATTGTCGCAGCACGATGATCCTTCTTACAAATTGACGCTTGGAACCTCTACTTTCAGATAGCCTTTCTCGATTTTATGCTTGTCGCACTCTTGCCACCGTATGCCTTTAAATGTAATCCTAAACATAGGGTTAACCCTTTAGGTAGGTAAACTCTTTCAAAGAGACTGAATATGAGATTAGCAGGGGTCAGTTCAAACTGCCGCAACTCCGCAAAAGATCGTCGTGGGATGATGATCTCTGTTTCAAATTAAAGATTGAAACATGTACTTTAAGACAGCCCCTTCCAGGCGACTCACGTATCAGATTGACGTATCATAACCCTTCCAAGGGTTAATTCGATGTGCTCTAACTTTACGAAAAACATCGCACTCAAGTTCCTTAGTGAGAATTTACTGTATCCTTCAAACGGATTTACGGGAATAGCGACAAATTGCAATGAAGCGAGAACAATCGAATGAATTGTAGATCAATTTTTCGAATCAATTTTCCGATGCAGATTATTGCCAATAGGTCGCTATGGCTTCATTGCGGATAGAGAATTAATTTCGTGGGACATTTCATGCGAAGTAAGACAAAAGCCAAAATTGATTCTGTCCACTCGAAAATGACCCCGCGATTCTAACGTAAGATTCTTATGACATAATCTTCGTATCATAAAGGTTATTATGATTATTATTTAGTCGTTAATTCAAAAAAGGAGAACAAAACTGGCAAAAGCCATCCAATGAACAACAATTTTAATCGGCACGATTGAGATTACAGTTTATAATAGAAATCAGTTTGAAATGTTGCGAGGAATGATCGAGCACGGGAAAATTAATTGAGCGATATTGTCTTACTTTACCTTCGTTAATTGATTTACCCGAGCTGCAAAAATTTCGTGGGTGACGGTTTCAGATGCGCGCACAACGACCACTGAATTTCGACTGTGAAGGGCAGCGATGTGATACAGTTTTATATGAAGAGTATGCAAACGAGTTCATTATGCAAGTTCATTACATTCACTTTCTCATCGAGCAGTTACTAATCTGAAAATCGTTTGAGAAAGAAAATTTATGCTAACAGCCGCCGTAATTGAACCTCATAATCGATGGAACAGAATAAAATGTTGCAAAAATTGCAGAGATCGGCGGAAATTGTATCTTAAAACTAAAAGGTGTCGATGCTAATTATAAGCTATCGCTATTTTTCCTGTAAATCAAGGGTGGCCAAAGCATCGAAAATTCTCAGTCGCCCGCCTGTCTGATATTATTTATGATTAGTTTAAATTTAAACTTATCTTTGGCTTTAAATTACTACTTTTCTCATGATTATTTAACACATAAAATGTTGATAGATCGCTGTCTATAATACTGTCCGACAATTTCAAACACTTTTTCCGATTGCCTATAACCACTATGAAATTCTTGTAGAGCTTCATGCCTCGAACAAGAATTTGAAAACCGAATTGCTCCATCACTTCCAGTTTTCGAAAAAAAGGAGCTTTTGTAAATGTCGACAATGAGCGATTTAAATACAATTGTTTGCTTCACCGGGAAATCATTTATTCAATATAGTCGAATATTAATTAATAAGCCCAAGGAAAGTGCGACCAAACGAAAGATACAATTGGTAGAGTGAGCCATGCCACTAACAGCGTAATTAGCGTCACTACCGTGTAATGTGCTATGCGTAGTCTGGAACAAAAAACGTAATGATTAGATAGAATAATTCAATCACTATAATATACACTGCTATATACACTGCTCAAAGAAATAATGTCATAGAAAAATTTCTGATAAGAGTCGGTCAAATGTGACTGACGACAACTCTGCGAAAACTTAATGTAGAATGAAGATCTTGTTTTCAAATTCAAGCATGGAACTTCTACTTTCAGAAACAGTTTCTGGATTTTAAGTACGACGCATCCTCGCCACTATAATCCTTAAAATGCGAGAACGTGTTTGCCATATTGGAAATTGCCAAGTTCGACGAAATTCACGGTCTTTGTAAAATTTTTTTCGGAAATGCCATTGATAGC